GATGCCATGCAACCCAAATGGACCATGCCGGGTCGGGTCAAGTCTTACCAATTATAGTTATGGACTTACACATTAACATGGTGAGTTCTGGAATCTCGTGCTTTCTCTAGAGACTTACCATGACGAGTTCTCTAATCTCGTGCTTTCTCGAGAGACTTACCATGGTGAATTCTGGAATCTCGTGCTCTTTCGAGAGACTTACCATGGTGAGTTCTCTAATCTCGTGCTCTCTCTAGAGACTTACCATGGTGAGTTCTCTAATCTAGGTCTCTCTTAAGAGACCATGGTAAGTTCTGGAATCTCGTGCTCTTCCCAGAGACTTACCATGGTGAGTTCTCTAATCTCGTGCTCTCTCCAGAGACTTACCATGGTGAGTTCTCTAATATCGTGCTCTATCCAGAGACTTACCATGGTGAGTTATAGAATCTGTTGTTCTCCCCAGAGATTTACCATGGTGAATTCTCTAATCTCGTGCTCTCTCCAGAGACTTACCATGGTGAGTTTTGGAATCTCGTGCTCTCTCCTGAGACTGGCCATGGTGACTTCCTTAATCTCGTGCTCTCTCCAGAGATTTACCATGGTGAGTTCTGGAATCTCGAGCTCTCTCCAGAGACTTACCATGGTGAGTTCTCTAATCTCGTGTTCTCCTCAGAGACTTACCATGGTGAGTTCTCTAATCTCGTGCTCTCTCCAGAGACTTACCATGGTAAGTTCTGAAATCTCGTGCTCTCCTCAAAGACTTACCATGATGAGTTCTCTAATTTCGTGCTCTCTCCAGAGACTTACCATGGTGAGTTCTCTAATCTCGTGCTCTCGCCATAGACTTACCATGGTGAGTTCAGTAATCTCGTGCTTTCCCCAGAGACTTACCATGGTGAGTTCTCTAATATTGTGCTCTCTCCAGAGACTTACTATGGTCAGTTCTGGAATCTCGTGCTCTCTACAGAGACTTACCATGGTGAGTTCTGGAATCTCGTGCTCTCTCGAGAAACTTACCATGTTGAGTTCTCTAATCTCGTGCTCTCTTCAGAGACTTACCATGGTGAGTTCTGGAATCTCGTGCTCTCCCCATAGACTTTCCATGGTGAGTTCTCTAATCTCGTGCTCTCTTTAGAGACTTACCATGGTGAGTTCTGGAATCTCGTGCTCTCTCCTGAGACTGTCCATGGTGAGTCTCAGGAGAGAGTACGAGACTCTTGAACTTACAATGGTAAGTCTCTGGAAAGAGCACGAGATTAGAGAACTCACCCCGGTAAGTCTCTGGGGAGAGCACGAGATTCCAGAAATCACCATGGTAAGTCTCTGTAGAGAGCACGAGATTAGAGAACTCACCATGGTAAGTCTCTGAAGAGAGCACGAGATTAAAGAACTCACAATGTTAAGTTTCTGGAGAGAGCACGAGTTTCCATAACTCACCATGGTAAGTCTTTGGAGTGAGTACGAGATTAGAGAACTCACCATGGTCAGTTTCAGGAGAGAGCACAAGATTCCAGAACTCACCATGGTAAGTCTATGGAGAGAGAACGAGATTAGAGAACTCACTATGGTAAGTCTCTAGGCAGAGCACGAGATTCTAGAACTTACCATGGAAAGTCTCAGGAGAGAGCACGAGATTCCAAAACTCACCATGGTAAGTCTCTGGAGAGAGCACGAGATTAGAGAACTCACCATGGTAAGTCTCTGGAGAGAGCACGAGATTAGAGAACTCACCATGGCCACTCTCAGGAGAGAGCACGAGATTAGAGGAACTCACCATGGTAAGTCTCTGAAGAGATCATGAGATTAGAGAACTCACCATGGTAAATCTCTGGGGAGAGAACGAGATTTCAGAACTCACCATGTAAGTCTCTAGAGAGAGCACGAGATTAGAGAACTCACCATGGTAAGTCTCTGGAGAGAGCACGAGATTCCAGAACTCACCATGGTAAGTCTCTGGATAGAGCCGAGATTAGAGAACTCACCATGGCCAGTCTCAGGAGAAAGCACGAGATTCCAGAACTCACCATGGTAAGTCTCTGGAGAGAGCACGAGATTAGAGAACTCACCATGGTATGTCTCTGGGGAGAGCACGAGATTCCAGAACTCACCATGGTAAGTCTTTGGAGAGAGCACGAGATTCGAGAACTCACCATGGCAAGTCTCTGGAGATCTGACTGGAGATCTGACTCTATTATCTTGTAGATTTATATTTCCTTGAAGCAAGTTCACTAACTCTGACATCAAAGGTCTTTCATTCGGGTTATTATTAGTGCATAACAGAGCGATTCTGATCATTCTCAGTGCCTCTTCAGCATCAAAATGTGATCCCAATCTTGGATCGATCAAGTCTATCAAACTCTCATCTTGTTGTCGCAAAGCAGTAGCCTAATGATGGAGACAAACATATGCATCATAAATAACAAGATTGGGTTAAGTATTTGGGAATTGTAGGAAGAATAGAATTATAGCATTTAGGAAAATAAATGTTACCTTTTCAACAATAGTTAAATACTCTAGATCATCTGTTGGAGGATATACGTTGCGCGTGCCAGCTACAATTTCCATTGCAAGAACCCCAAAGCTCTACACATCTTTTTGTAGGTTAACTGGCCAGAATATGCGTATTCAGGCGCAATATAATCGGAACAAGAAGAAAGTTAATAAAAGAAATATATTTTATATATAATAAAAGATCTGATTTGAAGATAGGAGGATCTAGTTAGTCACAAACTTCCAGAGGGAGCAGTGCGCGCTTGGGTGCGGTTTTCAAAAAATAGCCTGGCTTAGCCAAAATCAGCGATCTTTGGAGTAAGTTGTCTATCAAGGAGTACATTTGCAGCCTTGATGTCTCTATGAACCATTCTGAGGATGGATTCCTCATGTAGGAATGCCAAGCCTCTGGCAACCCCCACACAAATGTTTTGCCTTGTAGGCCAATCCAGTACCAAACTAGAGTTGCCATGGCCTGCAATTTAAGAACAAATGTTTTAATGTCCCACACAAGATCACACCTATAATTATGTGGCCATTAATTCTGATATACGTTTCCTTCGTTTTGTCATATTAAATGC